AAACTTGAAAAAAGAAGAATCACTGGATACGTACATCCTTTAACGATAAGTAATGGCCATAACTGATGGAGTATTATTATAATGAATTGGACAATTTGAGCTGTAGTAATAAACCGCTTCCACTTCGATGTTTTAATATTTGGATTAAAAGCACTTAAAAAATAATAACTATACATTACAGCATGTATAAATGCGTTGAGATTTCCGAGAACGGTGTGATGGCCACCAGTACCATAATAATGTACAACCATAGTTGATGAAAGAACCATTAGAACATGATGATAAACGTGTAGAAAAGTTATCTGTTTAAAGCTTTTACGCAACACAAAGAATATTGTGTCCATATAGTCTGTAATTTTAATGAAACAATATAAGTAGTTCAAATGTGATTCGAGTGGCTTCAATCTATGTATATTTGGTAAGCTTGTTATGCAACCAGGGTTATGATGATCTGGTACCCAGAGAAGCCGTGAAGCCTGAAAAATAATAATCCTTTATTGCTGCGGAAATGTCATTTCAATTTAATTTACCATAAATCCCATATAAAGATTTATAAAAACTTGGAAAACATTATAGACTTGCATTAACAATTTCACATTAAATGGTTCACGATTTCTCATCAGGTAGGGTCCGATTTTGAGAACAAATATAATGTAAGCAGAGGTTAGTACAATAACTTGTACTGGTGAACTAACAATTGGTAAGTTTGTTGTTGTCTTCACTAATATAAAATATAATTATTAAAAATCACTTGGTTTTTAAATTGGGTTTTGATTACCGGCGTACCGTTCGTCCCATTCTTTAATTTGTTGTAAAATATGCGATATTATCGGAAACATTACACTCAGTGCTGGACTTAATATATTGAAGAACTAAACCGAACTGTGAGTACTTTTTGATATGTAAAATTTCGCTTTAATGCGTTAAGCTTATTACAGGAAGCGACCTTTACTATGGGTTCGTATAATTAAAATTTTTATAATTTGTATTTAAATAAATTTAAATGAGTGCATTGGTATAAGTTTGTGACTTTATTATGCATTTTTGTACACTTTTCACAATGACTCAGTATTCTTATTACTTCGTGGCATTGTTTGTAACATGTTTTTAAAAAGAATAATATGAATTAGTGATTGAATTAGAATTAAAAAATTAAAACCTTATATAAAACTATTAAATTATTGTTTCACTGATCATTCACAGAATTTTTTTAAAAAATTATTATCCGTCTTATCCATACATACATATAAATATGTTATATCTATCCTAAAGGGTTTCAAAAATAATCATTTTTGCCAATAACTTGGAACCTCTTAGTCTTTTCGATAAAATTTTACGGCATATTATCAAATTGTTGGTAATATTAAAGTAACGATATGAAACATTTTCAGTGTGTTAGATGTATGATCGTTCAGTTGTACAAATATCGCAGCCAAGATATGGATACGATTTAGTAACGCCAAAAACACACGTTCCTGTACACAGAAATAACTTATACTTGCCAAGCTGTAATCATTGGTGATATTTTACTCATCTGCTTGTCAACTCATCGATTAACTCTATTTCTATTTCCATAGTTTTGATAGACAGTGCGGATATATCTCATCGCTTTCACAATGTTTCAGAAGATGTCATTTGTTGTGGTGCGATGAGAAGTGTTCAAAGACTAATGCTGCAAAGAAATAATTTATAAAACGACCTTATGGTCAGCAGATATGAGTACTATGCACGAACAATATCGATAAATAAAGAAGAAAAGAGGTGCTTCTTTAAACAAAAGAACGAAATCAAGAAAAGCACAAGAGAAAAGGAGCAGTCTTAGTAGTTATAAGGGTAAAATGTCGAATTCAAAGAAAAAAGTGATACTAATAGTCATATAGAAATTAATTACACCCTAAAATGTAATTAAATATAACATGAAACTGATTTTTTCAAATTTTAAATAAAATAATATTATTAATAATATTATTTAATTTGTTTAAAAGTTATTAAGTACAAAATAATCTATTATCAATCTATTATAAATCTATAAACATATCTTTCGTAGGCTTTAAAGTTGGGTCTTTAGTATGCAATTCACATATAATTAAGTTCGATCTAATTCTTCATACAATTTGTCATAAGCTAAGTGAGTTATAACCTCGTGATTAAATAATAATATCTTTGCGATTTGACTTTTCCTTGTTATAGCAATTTTTATGTATGTGATATATACTATAATGTTAGAATGTGATTTAGCAGATTGCAATTTACTTCTCTCTTATATAAAAGGGTTGTTTTTATGAGATTCATTTTTACCAATAATGCTCCATCGTCGATATAGTATACCATCAAGGACGACATATTACAGCTCTGGACACAGACTTTCATACATAGTCATCAAACATTTGCTTTCATAACTGTTTGAATTTATCATAATATAACATGTAGTACAGCTTCTTTGAAAGCGAAACGTATCTAAAGAATGTTCCTACATTTTCTAAGACAGATAAGTAGTTCAAAGATCAACTTTGTTTTTTGTGCTCTGAATGTGAAAATATTTCTAATAACAAACTAAGGCAAAATATTTGTTACTGAGCATTTATTTCAATTATTATTACTTACTTAATCTAACATTAATAAATAATGTCAATTAATTATCAATTGAGAGAACCTTGCAAGACAAGAAGACCTAGTATATCTAAATATGATAACTAAATATTATTTTAAAATATATAAGCAGAATATGACAAATTTTTTGACGTATATTTAAATACTAGTATTATAACAATTTTCTGAATAATTACGTAGTTTTTTTGCTAATGTTTTGATTGACTTTAGAATTTTTTTTAATGTAAGTTTTAATATAAAATTTACTAAATAATATGAGCATTACTATCGCCTGTGACAAATTTAATAACAGTAAAAACTTAGAATACGTACATCCTTTAACTATAAGTAAAGGCCATAACTGATGGATTATAACTATAATGAACTGGACAATTTGAGCTTTAGTAATAAATTTTTTCCACTTAGAAGTTTTAATGTTTGGATTTAAAGCACTCAAAAAATAATAACTATACATAATCACATGTACAAATGCGTTGACATCTCCAAAAAGATTTTGATGGCCACCAGTACCGTAATAATGTGTAACCATAGTTGTTGAAAGAACCATTAGGACATGATGATAAACGTGTAGAAAAGTTATCTGTTTAAAGCTTTTACGCAAAACAAAAAATATTGTGTCCATATAGTCGGTTACTTTAACGAATACATATAAATATATCATATGGCCCTCGAATGACTTCAATCTATGTGTATCTGGCAAGCTTGTTATGCAACCAGGGTTATGATGATCAGGTACCCAGAGAAGCCTTAAACCCTGAAAAATAATAATAATGCTTTATTGCAGCGGAAATATCATTTTTATTTAATTTACCATCACTCCTAAATAAAGATTTATAAAAACTTGGAAAACATTATAGATTTGCATTAACCACTTCACATTAAATGGTTCACGATTTCTCATCAGATAGGGTCCGATTTTGAGAACAAATAGAATGTAAGCAGAGGTTAGTACAATAACTTGTACTGGTGAACCCACAATTGGTAAGTTTGTTGTTGTCTTCACTAATATAAAATATAATTATTAAAAATCACTTGGTTTTTAAATTGGGTTTTGATTACCGGCGTGTCGTTCGTCCCATTCCTTAATTTGTTGTAAAATATGCGATATTATCAGAAACATTACACTCAGTGTTGAACTTAATATATTGAAGAACTAAACCGAACTGTGAGTGCTTCCTGAATTGTAAAATTTCGCTTTAATGCGTTAAGCTTATTACAGGAAGCGACCTTTACTATGGGTTCGTATAATAAAAATTTTTATAATTTAAATTTAAATAAATTTAAATAAGTGCATTGGTTTAACTTTATTATGCATTTTTGTACACTTTTCACAATGACTCAGTATTCTTATTACTTCTTGACATTGTTTGTAATATGTTTTTAAAAAGAATAATATCAATTAGTGGATGATATATTTTTTTTAATTTATACATCAAGCAAGATGTAAAACTTATATTGTTATACAAAATTTATAGGGATTCGAAAAGCAAAGAAAGAAAGAACAAACACAAAAATTTAGTTAATTTATTGAAATTTGGCTGACCATAAACGCTGTTTCGAATATTGCCAAGTACTCATCATCAGTGGTCTTAGGAAATATTCGAATTTCTTAATTAGTTTATAGTCCGTACATAATTTGTTTGGACGGCAAGTGCCGTGCCTGTCAAATTGGTAGCGATGACTAATCGTTTTTTTTCACAAGTAGCCAAAGCTACATAAACTTACTTAGCAGAATAAAATTCCGCAAAATTACTATTCTGCGGAATTCTATTAGATTAATAATTATATAATCTGCTTTTGGTCCATTCATACTTACTGATATATCCAAAAAATACAGTGTTTGGAAAATAATAATTTTTTTCAACAAATTGGAATCAGTTAGTCTTTTCGATAAATTTTTACTGCATAATATCAAATTATTGGTAGTATAAAAGCAGCGATATGGATAGAGATATCTGTTAATACCGATCTTCAAATTTTTTAAATATATCAAAATTTTTGGAATATCAGCTTAACTTTCGGCTTTTGGCTTATGTCATATACTATAAAGTAAGTATACATAATAGATCACAAAACAAATAGCACAAATAGCACTTTTTTCACTGAAGGAGAGTTTATTGCTTTGAATTATACCTATTGAGCTGTACATCAATATAGTTCTACTTGAATTTAAAGTGTTCATGTTTAGTTTAAAAGTTATTCTTTTTAATACAAGTTTAAAAGAAAGAGTGAAGTTTATATGTGTAAACTAACGTCTAGAGTCAGAATGTACACGCAGTTACCAATATTGAATGTTTAATTACTATTACTAGATTTTTTTACAGTGTATTCAATTATTGATAGTGTTTAGAATTCAGTAATTTGCATAGCAGAAATTCAAAAAATAAATAAATAATTAATTTACACAAATATATTAAGTATTCAAATTGAAACGTTTGTGTTTGCAAACTCGAATAATGATGACATGGAATTCATAGAAACTCAGAACAGTTTTTCAAGTTTTGAAGGAAGTTTTCGTATTAAAAACCATCTATTTGTTATATATATAATTTTAATACTTTTAAAAACTGATTTGTTTTTGTGTCCATAAAAAACATTTATAAAGTTTGCTTTAAATTCATATATTTTTGCCTTTTAATTTATTGGTTCCCTTTACGTATGCTTTTCGATAAAAATTACCAAAAAGTATGAACATAATAATTCCTTGAAGCTCGAATAGCCACAATAATGTTCTTGGGGTCTCACAATTAGGTACAAATATTAATGTATACAAATTATTTGAAAATATTAAAATAAATTGACATAACTGTAATAGAGTGATATATTTTTTCCACCAGATATTATTAGCAGTTTTTGGTTGCAATATTGAAATCAGGTAATATCCATACATAACACAATGTACAAAAGCGTTCAGTATTGCAACAAATAGTATTTGACTCATTTCGCCATACTTAGCCACATACAGCCAACCAGATATCACCATTATAGCATGATGATAAACGTGCAGGAAAGATATTTGTCGAAAGCTTTTCCGCAACACGAAAAATATTGTATCTGCAAAATCTAATACTTTTAAAAAGTAATAACCAATCATTAGGTACAGTTCCATCCGTTTCAGAGCATGATTCATGGGCAATGGTCTGATGCAACGCCAATCGTATGGCTTTTTCATTTGAATATAACCCGCCTATTACAAAGTAAAATAGAAAGTAAATATACAATATATACATATATATTAATAGATCTTGCATCTTAATGTATATATCTTACCACTATAACTGTTAATCCATTAAGTAGAATTTGCAAAATATTGTAAGCTATAACTAGTTTTCTTACATTGAATGGGGAACGTTTTCGCATGAACGCAGGACCAATTTTCAAAACGAATAATAGATACGCAATACTTATCAGGCATATTGGTACAGGTGACTTGTTAATAAATATATCCGAAAATATTTCATCTGCAATAAAAACAATAACAATATTCTTTATTTTTTGGTTAGGTTAGGTTAGGTTGAGAAGGCGCGTGCTGATGGGTTATCAGCACTTCCATTCAGAGGCATATATTGCTCATTGTGATGCCCTCAAAGATTTTGCTGGAAATGGTGAATTGCTAACCTTTGTTATCTTCGCCTACTATCCTTGATCTTTTATTTAAATGTTGTATGTACATATTGAAAGTGTTATGCTATTATATAAACTATATAAAGCTATTATTATAAACTATCAAATGTTTATTTACAACATTAAAGATACGATTATTTACAATACAGAAAGAATTCTGTTTCAAATTGGGAAAAAGTGAAACAGAAATCAATAGAATGCTAAAAAGTATATATGGAAATGAATATAATTCATTGCTTTAGCGGGATTTCGAGTTTTGACCTAACTTAACATTTCTCTCCAAGCGCGTATGCTGTATGTACTCTCTCTCCAGTCTCGATCATCAAGTGCGACTAGACCTTCTACAACTGGATAACTACACCAAAAATACGGTTTTCTTCCAACTGGCACTTCTTATACGTTCAAACCTGGACATTCATGATATGATCAAGTGAGTTTCGCTTTAAAATGTTACCATAAAGAGCTCTCCAAATTCCGGTGACTACGTACAGTAGTGCCGTAAAACAATTTTAGTGCCGTTTTGTCATTTTATGGTACAGTCCATGCTTCTGCGCAATACCTAAAATGCCTATGAAGAAAAAGCTCTGTTTAATATTGATGAGTGCGGTCTTAAAATGTTCAGAAGAGCCAAAGCAGATAAGATTTCGCTTTAAAAAGAGCAAACTCAAATTAATGATTGATTACTTCGATTGAGCGTAGATTGATCACAGTACATTCAAACCCTTAAGGTTAGACTGTGGATAAAGAATGTTATTTGGAAGTTTCACAATAATTGTGAGATAGATTTGTTCTTTATATTATAGTATCATGCATCATCGTATTTACTTGACTTGGCTTCTTTCTATTTGAATGGAATTTTTTTTAACTGAAGTTAATAATGAAATGAAATCGTTTCGATACCATCCCGGTTTTAAAAAAAAACTATATATCCCGAAAAATTCTTAAACGTTGCCAACGCTAAGTGGACTCGAGTGGAAATTATTTTAATTGTACAAGAACAAGAATAAGCTTTGTTTTCTTTTTTGTTTAGACTAGTCTCACTGAATCTGAGACTATTTATATACTTAAAAAATTATTACTGTAATATTTCAGTAAAATTTTATCAGTTTCTACAGTTTTGTTTAGGAAGAGAAAATAAATTTTTTAATTTAATAAAGATACAGCATCAAGATTTACTTTGTTGATCAGCATAATTCGTCAAACGGGATCGTCTATGTTAAAATATCAAGCTAAGTAAAATG